AAACCTCTGATAGATTGATATCCTGATCACAGTCAATAGGTGGCGAGATTGACATCATAGGTGGCGAGGTTGATAGGAAAAACCCCTCATAGAAAAGAGGGCGACGGAGGCATCCTAGATCAATGCAATCATCAGCTTCTTGATCCACACTCGATTGAGCAGTCATCCCTTGGATTGAATGTGCCGTACGCTATCCAATAGATGGTTAGAGCATATGGCCTGCAGATCCGGTGTATGCTTCATCAGAGTCGTGTTCCGAACTCTGGCTCCTCTTGTCTCGATACCACTTGTCGCGACTTGTGATACGCCTCCGCGGAATACTTTGGGGGTGGCTTCAAATCCGCGTCAGATCTGACGAAAGCCCACGTCAGCATTGGAGCATTTAAGTCTTGAGTCGACGTCTCCCGAAAAACGAGCGGACAAGGAAAATCTCGTCACAAACCCATCTCAATCACATTCAACCACGAGTGATCCCTTCCAATCTTCTCCAATCTTCACAATGGCAATCGACAAGCTTAACACCAAGCTCGACGAATGGTGGGAAGTCATGCGCAACCTCAAGCTCGACTCGCCCCAAGAAGAGTGGGACAAGTTCACCTCGTATCTCAACCCCGACGCAGTCGTCAACCTTAGCGGAATGGCCGCGCCGCCCGCCCGAGGCATCGCTGACACTGTAGTGGAAATGAAGAAGTTGATGGGCTTTTGGAGCCTCGTCGAGCGCAGGGTCTTGGCCCAAGGCACGGATGCGGCCGGGAAGACGGCCTTTTGCAATATGGACAATCGGCTGCTGATTCTTGGGGAGGAGGTCGACGTTCCGGAGACGGAGGTGGTGACGTTTGATGACCAGGACCGGATTCTCGAGTATAAGCTGTACTGTGATCCGACGCCTCTTCAGCCGATTTTCGACAAGAAATCTGCTGCTGCTTGATTCCAATATGGACACATTCGCTCGACCAGTGACGTATCCTCCCCGATCGGGTTGGGCTCGACCATATGGTCAATGTGGAAATGTGGAACTAGACGGGAGAAATTGATTGAATACGGTCAATATTGATGTTCGTCTGGCTGCTCGTATTCTTTATCCTCGTGGAGTTGCCAATGTACTATGTAATCCCAGCAGAATTGACACGGAATCTGATTTTTTTTTTTTGGGGGGGGGGGGGGGGGGGGCGCCTCCGAGGGTGAAGCGCAGTCCCGGAATTTGGTGGTGTCGCCCGAGCGATCCGAATGACAGTGGAATTCGAGCAGCAGTCGACTGCTATTCGTCCAGATTTGGTGTGGTGGTGAGGAGGCCCTAAGAAGGCCGTCCGTGATTGCTCAGATGTCGCTTGAGTTTTGGTCTCAGGACACCCAAATACCGTCACATGCCAGAATGTGACATGGAGGTAACCAACGAGAAAGAAAGTAGCAGTCAGCCCACCACCAAGAACTGCGTGGATGCCCGGCTTACCCGGAGGTGGTTGTGCATTGTTGAGAAGATCCCGGAGCGAAATGCGACTATTGATGATTTTATGTCGCACTGAGCGTGCTAAACGAATCAAAGATCAGGTAAACGATAATGAGCAGCAGCAATGTGTTGATTGATTGTTGTCTAAAGTGCGGGGTACTCCAGCCCACAGATTTTACTTGGGGAATTGATAGGGGTGCTACACCATTTTGATACGCGTGCTACCCCCTCCTTCCAGGGTTCAAGGCAGGTTATATATGCCTTTTCTATGAGATGTGGAATCAGCTATTCTAGCTGATTTATGGGCCTGTGGCGATAGGATGTGGAATTATCTTCAGTGGCGATGTTCCCATGGCTAATTCATCCTCTTCCAGCAGCTTCTAATAGCTTCCTTTTTTCCACATATTTAACAGGTTCACTCAGGGAGCAAGAACCATTCTGTCTTGTGCAACCTGGCGACGGCTTCCGACTTCCCGAGGGGGGTCCAGGAATACTCATTATGCAGGAGGCATCTTCATTTCCTCATCAGACACTTGTGTTACGTTCGGTCTCGATTGTAAACCATTCATCACTCCATTGGAGAGCTCTAATTCGTCGGCAGGGGTGGGAGCAAGGGTCCTACGGCAGCGGATTCGTCAGAATACCCTAGATCTCGATGCGTCTCACCGTCTTCCGTGCGAGGCCTGACCCATGGGAAATACTAGACGAAGACGAGGAGTACGGTCGCACATTACCACATGGGTGGCAAAACCATGTACGAAAATGACTGGAGCTATTTCGCACATAGGCTTTCGGCGTTTTTATATGGTGTTAGATTAACCAGCTGAGCTAAAAGTATGGAGTTACTCTCAGTATTACTATACCCAGTGTTAATCAGGTCCATAATCCAACATATGGGGCTACAGTATAAGGGGTATATGACAGCGTCCAAAGAGAAGGCCTAGCCGGTCGCTGTGTCCTTAAAGCGGCGACGGATCCCTGGTAAATTGTCCACTACCTTTAGTGGCCGAAACCACCAAAAGCGGTGGTAAAGTTACCGTCTTATTGTTTAAGGTAGTATATTATCCAGTCTGGTTTGCATCAAGTCTCCTCGTGTCCACGGTGAACTTAATCGCCGCCCGCACCGCCTGTATATCAGGTGCCCATTTTGGGCCGTCCGATGCCGCCTTTCCTCCCAAAAAGAACGAGAGATTCCCCATCTTTGCCCGTCCGGCCCGTTGCCTCTGTGCATCCCATTTCGTACACCGGAACAGAAAACGCTCCATCGTTTCTGCTGCTTATCCCATATCTGATTCCACTGCTCCTATCCTATACAGGTAGCCGTTAGTCCTGGCCATTCCCGTGCGCAGGTGGGCGAGCATGTCTGATTCGCGTCTCTTCAGTCTATACAGGGAGTGTATATGTATACCTGGTAACGCTTTATCGATTCGCTTCGAAAAGTTTCCGACCCTATCGGGCAGAGTCTTCTGCCGTTGCTGCTGTGCTATCGCCAGTCTTATCTGCGTGGAGTGAGCTTGGTATGCTGGTTTCTCCGGTCTGTGTTTTCCTTGTACGGCTCTTCGAGCTTCCGCCTTTGCCTCGCAGCTCATGGAGAAGTCGTTGTCTCCGGATGGTACCCACAGCGTCTTGATGATGTTGCCGCTTTTCTGGAGTCGTTCGGCTAGTGTCGCATCTGATACCCGCGTCATGAATCGATGCGACTTCCTCCGCACAATGCGATACATGCCTTCGGCCTCCTCACGCGCTTGCTCTTCGTCCATGACCTTCATCTTCTCTGTCACCTCGTCCTCCCGCTCGACGTATGACTGATACAATACCAGCATCCGCGCCACTTTGATCACACCGGAGTACTTAGGAGTGTACTCGGCCAGCTCAATCCACTTACCCTTGCCGTCAATACCCATAATGGCTAGCCCGCTTAACACGATGCTGTCGTAATGGCTCTGCTTGAACTGGTAATCGAGCATTCCGATAAATATATCTAAGCACAGCTGTTCTATCTTCTCGTCGTCCAGTCCTTTCTGCCGGACTAACCCTACTACAGTATCCTTAGTAGCGCCTTTAAATACATCCCACAACTCGCCTTATTGCACCGTCAGTTTATACAGCAGCCTATTATTCTCACCCTAGTCCTCCATCCGCTGCCAAGTATATATTAACATCTTCCAATATTTCTTATACTATACCTACGATTTGTCTTCTAATTAATTGTCGAATAGTTTGCTCGGGTTTGTATAGATATCCTTCCGTTCGATCTGGAATAATACGGCTAATCTGACTGTGCTCTGCACCGATACTGCTCGTACTCGGTCGGCTACTCGCTTGAATACCTCGCACATAATCTGCAGCACTGGCTTATCGTCCCTAATAGGAGCTGCAAATAGCAGTAGCTCCTTTTTCGCTTTAAACTGCTATAAGTAGTCGTCCTATCTGGTTCTCTCGACCTATATATTCGGCTCTTTCTTTTCGTCTGTAACTTTAATCTCCTCCTCTTCTACTATATTAAATCTCTTAACCTATTCCCAGTGGATTCTTATTAACTATTTAATTATACTCTCTGTCAGCTCGGGCTCCCTAAGTAATCTAATTGGCTACTTAATAGCCCTTCTAACCTTAAACTATCTACTAGCTAGGCCGGACTTGAAAAATTGTTGGCTATATACTTCTGTCTTCTATAGAAATATATATAGCTTCTTTAATTTCTCTTTTATATCCCCTCTTCCTCTTTTAATTATTTTACTATCTGTATTAAATATAATAATATTATTATATATTATATTAATCTCGAATAATATATTTATATTTATTGTATTATAATAATCTATTTATTTTTAGTATCTTAATATATAAAATTGGGTTAATTATAAGTAGTAAGAATAGAAACTTATTTAATTCTTTTTATATATAAATTAATTCTGGAATTATATTAATCTTTTTTATAATTATATTTACTTTTTTTAGCTGAAATTGTAATATATATATATTTTAAATACCTTTAGACTGTATTAGTAATATATTTATACTTATAAATTTTATAAATAATAACGGGAAATTATAAAATATAGATAATTACATTTATAATTCTAATTAAATATTCTTTTAGATTTTTAATTAAAAGATTTCCCTATATTATAAGATTAAAATATTATCTAACTATAATTATATCTATTCTCCTACTTACTTTAAATTAGCTACTAGCTTTCTAATTTGTAAAAAATTATTAGTAAGATATATTAACTACCTAAGGTAAATCTTAAATATCTAGGTCTTTTATTTTATATTACCTCTCTTTTTCTAATTATTTTACTAGCTATACTTATCTTAGTAATATTCTTATATTAAGCTAGTTATTTAAGTTAAGTATTTATATTTAATATATTATATCCTATTGTATTTTAATAATTTAAGAAATAAAATTAATTTAGTTTCTAATATAGAAAAACAAAAATTACATAAATTATCTTAATTTTTAAGAATAGTATAAATACTATAGGCTCATAAGTTTATATCTTACCTCTAGGCTACTATAAAATAGTATTAATATTATACTTAGTAAATATAACTCTTAATTTTATTAGCTATAACTTTATATTTATAGTTACTATATATTATTAAGTTAAATTATATTAAATATATAAAAAAGCTAATAATAAGAATAAACTAATTCTTAAGTAACTATATAGAATACTTAGATAATAGATAATAAATTATACAAACTATAGTAATTAATTTCTTATTAACTTAAACTTTAAAAATATTATCTATAGACTGTAATATCTTATTACTTCTATTTTTACATAAATTAAACTTTTAATACTAGTGCTTTTTAAAGAGATTTATCTATAATATTAATAATAAAATTTAATTATTAAGCTACTTCTACTAATTTACTTAACTATTTATTTTTATATTATTATTCTTAATAAAAATAAGAATATAGCTAGACTCTTTTTAATCTTCAATTTTTAAGAATATATACTATTCTATTAAAACCTTAGTATAAATCTATAAAAATACTAGTTATAGTTAATTAGAAAAGGTATTATTAATACTATATATAAATTATTACTATATAGGCTTATAGTTACTTTACTATATAAATATAATATCCTCTTTTACTATACTACTTATATTATTAAATTAATTAAACTTTAATAAAGTATTATAAATATACTTCTTTATAATAGTAATAAATAACTAATAATATAATTAAACTCTAATTATAAATAAAATTCCAGATATTACTCTACTTAACTTTTTAAGCTTATTAATAAATATTTTTATTATTTATAAGCTACTTTTTAATATAAAAATAAAAAGTAATATATTAATAAATTTATTATAGAAATATTTATATAGAATAATATAGGCAATAAATTTTATATATATAAGATATTAATATATTAATAATATAATTAGTAAAAAGAAGAATTATATAACTTAAAACTTATTATTTATCTTAAGATAAGTCTTATAATATTAAATTAATAAAAATTAATTTATTTTATATAAGCTAATATTTCCCTTAATAAGGGAATTTAGTATTTAAATTTACTATATTTTTATTATATATATATTATAGTTACTAGAGCCTAAATTTAAGTTTTAAGCTGCTTTTTTCTTTTCTATTAGAATTCTATCTAACTTTTTTAACTATAGATAGCAAAATTAAAGTTAGAGAAGTTAAATAAAAGCTTTAGGTAGAAATTAGTAGGCAATAACCTTATTATTTAGCTACTATTTCTTTTAGTACTAGATATAATATTTATTATTTATTTCTACTATTTAAGATTACTATATAACTTTAATTTATCTAATAATATTAAGCAAAGCTAAAAAAACTAAATAAGCTAATATTTTATAAATATAAAAATATATTATAGTATTTAATTATTAGTAACTTTAAGATTTAAGCTTTTTATCTATTATTTAATTAATATAAAACTATAAGTACTTTTAAAAGTATATTATATATATTAAAATATATTTATATTACTTTAGAATCTAATAAATTTATTATACTTAATTTAATTAAATAGATAGTAATTAATATAATAATAATAATATTAATAATTACTTTTACTAATTATTTAAATTAACTAAAAGAGGAGTTTTTATATTCTTCTTTTAATTAAAATTAGAATATTAATTAATCTAAGGTTTTATTATATAAAATTATTATTTAATAGAATTTTAAATACTTAAACTTTAACTCTAAACTTTTAATAATTTACTAACTAAAGAAATATACTATTAAATTAAAGGTATAAAATACTAGAGCTCTAGAATAATATATATAAAATAGAAAGGCCTTTAAGCTTATATTATTAAAAGCTTATTAATTTCTTAGCTTAATTAAATTATATATAAAAGATAATTAGAAAAAGTTGTAATTTTAAAGCTTTACTTATAGACTTAAAGTATAATTTAAAGTAAATAGCCCCTAATAATATAAATAAATAAAATATATATATATATTTAAGGTTATTAAATAATTATATAAGCTTTTTAAATATATAAAAAGCTATTTTTAGCTTTTTTATAAAAATTATTAAATTTTAATAAAAGTTAATAAAATTTTATTAGTATATCTAGTAAAATAAAGTAATTTTATATTACTTTTTTAAGAATTTATATATTTTTTATTAGAGAGATATATTTAATTTCTATTTATAAAAATATCTTATATTAAAGTTTTTAAATATTATTTTAATAAAAATATATAAAATCTTAGAAAAGTAATATAAAATTACTTTATTTTAT